GTCGTCCTCCTCCTCCTCCTCCTCCTCCTCCTCCCCCCCTTCCTTCTCCTCCTCTGCTTCCTTCCCCTCCCCTTCCACCTTCTCCTCTTTTTCGTGCTCCAGCTCCTCTTTCTCCGCTGTTCGCTTCCGTGAAAAGAGCTGCTTCCTCCTCCGTCGTTTATTCGGCGACGCTACCCTCTCGATCTTCCGAGACGTGACCCTCTCGCTAGAGGCTCGGTCTCGCGGATCGCACGCGGTCCGCGTCTATCGCTCGGCATACAACAGCTGCTGCTGCTGCTGCTGCTGCTGCTGAGGAACGACCAGTATCGATCGCGATCTATCTCCTGCTGCCTGTTCCTCGACGTCTGAGAAATGAATGGTGGACCGATCGATGATCCGTCGATTCCGCGTTCGCCGACGATCACGGTAGCGCGATAAAAGTTCTATCGACGATACGGCAACCGTGAAACGCACAGGTCCATGGTCCGGTCGCGTTCAATTTCGTCTACGGCGATCGCTGAAAGTACAATTTGGCATGATCGTCACTCACTGGCACCGGGACATCGTTGAGTACCACGTTGCACACGAGAGGCCGACATTCACTGGACGCGTACGATCGGATTTCTTCCGCGTATCCTCTCCGGAGCGGAACACGATCCGGTGAACCCTCGTGACCTCTGGTTCACGCGCGAACTTTGATCTAGACATGTGCGCGCCAGCGGACCACTCTCTACCGATGCACCCTGCGTCTCTTCAGACGTATCCTAGGATTCATGTCACCGGCCGGACACGATCGAGAGCTATCGATTTTCCTTGACCTTGCACCTCTCCTGTCGTTACGTCACCTTCGATTCACCGGGTCTCCTCGAGCGAACCAGTCGGTCTGTCGAACGAACGAACGACGGGAACGAGAGGGAACAAGCCCAAGCGACGAGAGCGGAGTCCCGATGTCCGTGGAGTTCGAAGAAAAGCGTGTACCCGCGTGGCGGTAGCAGCCAGCTGGCCGAAGCGTGGCGTAGCGTGGAGTGTCGCGTCGTGTCGCGCCGCGCCGGTAGAACTCGATGGATCCTGAGAGCTTGCCAGCTTGTCAAGCACTGAGTCAGGAGACGCGCGTTCTCATCGCATATATGTCGACGCGGAGACCTCCTCCTCCTCCTCTTCCTCCTCCTCTTCTTCTTCTTCTTCTTCTTTCTTCTTTCCTCCCTCTACACCCTTTACTCTCACTTATCGTCTTTCTCCTCCTCGTGCACGTTCGCCGCTTTTTCTCTCCCGTAGTATCTCACATATTCGCATGTAGGGGCCGAACGTGCACCCGTTGCCAATATACCAGTCCCCACCTTCGCTGATTCTCTTTCTCCTTCGCCACCTCTACCTACGCCGCCGCCAGCACGGCCTCTCCCTTTCCATACCATCGCCCTACCCTTTCTCCTACCTCGTCGTTCGCGAGGCTCTCCCCCGCCTCGCCCGTCGTTAGTGGGAAAGGTTTTGCCGCCTCTCTTCTGTCTCCTCTAGCTTCATTATTCTCCTCCATTTTCGCCTTCTTCTTCTTCTCCTGCTTCTTCCTCTTCTTCCTCTTCCTTCGACCCCTCTAATTTCCAACGTCGCGTTGCTCCTCGACTCAGGGATCGATAAAAAATCGATCACTGTCACGAACGTTTCGTTTTCTTTCTTGGACTCATATCGGGACGATCCCAGAATGTGATACGAGAGTTCCCACCGAAGGTAACCACTTCCGTAAAACGATGCGAACCACGGGAACCAAAAATAACGACGACGCGTACTTGGGATACGCGAAATTTCAAGGTCTTCGACAGGATATGCATGCGTGATGCAAGACGGTGTAACTAACACAGAGAGAAAGAGAAATCTAAAATTCGATCTTCGCAATTTCTGTACGGCCAGATCGATCGAATTTGTATCATTGAATAAAATCGTCGCGCGCCGAACGTTTAGCTGACGGGAAGAGAAAGAGAGAGACAGGCATCCGTCTTGGCGATATTTAAAATCCAAATCGACTTTCGAAACGATTCAAATTCTATCGAACATCGCGCGTTGGCACAAATGCATTAGGCAGCGCGTTGCGAAACGGCGAGACCGATTATTCTGAACCGGCGCTCCACGCGTTTCGTTCGCGGACGAAGGAAGCTGCGGGTGGCTGTGCGATCGAACAATGTTGCACGATCGTAAAGCGTACAGCCTGGTTTCTCAGCCTGGTACGAGCGAACATCGGGACGATCCGAGGACAGCGCGCAGCGAGAACGCGCGCAGTGATCAGCGTCCATGTGTTTACCCCACGCGTCGTTTCTTCCCGTCCGTCGACGCAAGGAGCGAGGGCTACTGCATACGAACGACCAAACGACGCCAACAGCAGGTGGCACGAAAAGAGCTGTCCCCAATTTTCCGCTTCTCTCCCCGACGCCGCGCCGCGTTGCGTTAACTAGCCACTTTTGGAAATCCTTTTTTCGCCCCTCTGTCTCTTCTCCTCCACGCTGTGTCGGCCGACACGAATCGCCCGACTCACCGGACTCGCGGACTCTCCTCCGAAATAGTTTGGAAACGATACGACGATACGAGGAATCTGACCAATTTTCCGTGCACCACCTACGCGAGGAATGAGTGGGTCGGAATACACGAATGATTCATTCGTCTAGACAGGTATAACTATAGTATAACGACGAGGAAAAGGAGTCGGGGACAGAGAAAGATAAAGAAGAAAATAACAGGGATGGGAGCAGGGTGCGTGCACTGTAATAAAGGCGTTTCTTCGTCGAAAATGCAGAACGATTTCCGCCGAAAAGCGGTACCGCCGCCGACCAGACGGACGATGATGAATGGACGAGCTCACGCACCACCGGTAGTGGAACGGTGATTTATTCCGACACCTCTGGCCATTACGCTTACGGTAGTCGAATCGCGAGCGTAACGATCGGGGTTCCGAGAATCGATGGAATCCGTCGTTTCACCGTTCGATTCGACTTTCGTTCGACATACGCGTTCTCACGTCACGTGAGAAGGAGAGGGATAGAAACTGGACGAAGGATCTCGGGGGAGTGAGAGAAATGATCGAGCGAATGAGACGATAATCTTCTGTATTGTATACAATGCTCGATACAATCGCTAGGAATTGAAAAGAAGCTTTTGATTCGCCCGGCTATCGAGCTTTATACGACACAAAATATACGCTTAAGCACGATTTCGACGTCCCCGCGCGTGTTCGTCGACCGACGGATACGGTGGTACACGTGGCACGTAGCATTCGCGTTCAGAAAATAAAATTTCTCAAGCTCGACTCAAGTTCCTGCCCGCAGAAATCACACCGTCCGTGGTCGCCATCGCTCATCGAAGGCCGCTTCTCGTTCGTCAGCGGAGGAACAGACTGATTTTCCCTAAGCGATCGGCATCGAGTTTCTCCTTCGTCGTCGATCTCGTCGAACCGGCCGTTGCTCGCCGTTCATGAAGAAACAAATGAATAACGCACCGTTGGACGAAAGCTCCCGTCGACGACGGTACCGGCTCCGCGAATAGTTCGAACGTGCCCCTTAAACAATTTTTCCGTGGCGCGCGTAAACACGTTGCGTAACACTGATTTCAAGTATAAAAGTGAAAAATCGCTCGTCGCATAGAACTGCGCGCTCGCTGCGCAGTCAGCAATACGTGGGACGATTTCAATGGACTAATTGCCTCGAGTGATCGCGATGAACCACGGTGAACTCGTTCATTAATGAAAAACGTCGACGCGTTGCGAGCCGCGGCGTGCTCGAACAGATACGCAAGAGTACAAATGTGTGTAAGAGAACCGTACGCGTGACAGTCTTGGCGACGCCACCGTGGTTCGGACGAGACCGAGCCGAGGATCGATGCGTCGAACGCGCGCGCGTCCGATCTCGCTTCGTTTAATTTCGTTTCATTTCATTACGAATCTGGTGGAATGGACGTTTCGATGCCGGACAGAATCGTGCTCGCACGGGCAACGAAAACGAGACAGAAGCGGCACGCGGCACGCCTCGGTACGATGAGCGACGCGACCTTCACGGCGGCACGAACGAACCTATGACAAAACGCGTTACCACACTTCACACTTGTGAACCGGATTCATTCGCGAGCCTTCCGGACAGTTGAACTCCGAAGAGAACTCGGGTAGATTCGAGAGCGATCCTATCACCCTGTACTTCGGCGGACAATGGGCATCCTTTTCAATCGCGAGAGCTATCGCCTCGGATTTCACGCTGGAACACCAGCCCTGGCGGCAAACCGATCGTTTTCGAATAAATCTCCCGTTTTTACCGTTGCGTGTTACGAAAAATGAAGTACCTGGGCAAAGTTCAGGAAGAACAGTTGACGATGCGTCAAATTAAGACCGGGTAACGGTAATTGATCCTTGTAGCTCTTAGGCCTCGAAATGTACGCGTGATACGCCGCCTTCAGGCCTCCGTTGTCCGCGATGTTCTCCCCTGCAAGCAGCCGAATTTAGCACGCGTCCATTGCGAGATGATTGCGACCGCGATTGCCACATTGTACGACTGACCCAGAGTCTGCCGCCCGTTCACGTGTCGCCCGTCTATCTCGAACTTGCTGTATTGTTCGACGAAACACTCTGTCCTGTTTTTAAACCTTTCTATCGTAGCCTTGTTCCACCACCGATTCAGGTTACCGTGCAGGTCGTACTCTCTCCCTGGGAACGAGTGGATCGTTCGATCGAACAAGTAGAAGAAGAACAAGAAGAAGAGGAGGAGGAATGAGAAAGATGTACCTTGATCGTCGAAGGCGTGGGTCAGTTCGTGGCCCATGACGACTCCGATACCGCCGAAGTTCAGACTACTAGGATTTTCCATGTCATAGAAAGGACCCTGCAGGATGCCGGCAGGGAAGACCATCTGATTCTTCGTAGGCCAATAATAAGCGTTCACCATCGGCGGCGTCATCATCCAAGTAGTTCTGTTCACAGGCTGATCGAGCTTCTCCAAGTTCTTCCGCAACTTGTACTTGTTCGCGCGTATGTTGTTCTCGAAGTACTCGTTCGGTTTCATGGATAGGTCTTTGTAACGCTCGTCGAGTTCCTTCGGATTCAAAATGAAATTCGGAAACCCGATCATGTCGGTGATGGCGTTCGCCTTCTCCTCCGCGGCTCTCCTCGTCTCCGCGTCCATCCAGTCGAGGTTCTTCAAGTTCTTCGTAAAAGCCTTGCGCACCTGCTCTATCATCTTCCCCGCCTGTAATCAAACACAATTTTAGGAGATGGTCCCTCGGACGCGCCTAGCTGAAAACGTGTAAATCGACCATCGGTTTGCTCTTTCCGTGGAAAACTTCTCTGACGAACATCGCACCGATCGCGAAACCCATCGTGTTGTGCGTATCGGTGACGCAGTAACGCCATTGCTCCTCGCGGCCCTCCGAACCGATCAGAGCTTTCCTCAGCCCCTTATAAGCGTCGCGGAACGGTTTCGACAAGCACGCCGTCAGAGATCTCACGGTGTGCCAGACCAGGTAGTTGTTCAGTGTCCTGTCAGGTGGTAGGAAACGGAAAGAGAAATTTATAGAGAAAAGAGAAAGAAAAGCGCGCGCTTACTCTCTCTTCGGGATGAACACTCACACTTTTCCCTCGTCCGTTTTGTTATAGTCCGACACCAACGACGACAATTTAACAAAGTATTCAGGAGCCAAATTTACGATCACCGTCTTCTCGTCCACCCTCTTGTCGACGAGGAGCGTCGCGTTTTCGAAATATTCTACCCAGGACATCTGAAATTCATCGAATCATAGCACTCTGATGATTCGTCGAGACCCGCGGGATGCCCACTTACGAACGGTGCCCTTTTCTCGAGCTCGCTCAGAGTCATATTGTTGTACAGCTTCTCCTTGTCCCGGCGATCCTCCGGCGGGGTCATGATCTCTGCCAGCTTCGTCTCGAACTGGATCACGTCCTGCATCTGTCTCCTCGTCGAGTTCTCCTCGCCACCTAACAGAACGCCGATCTGCAAACGTACGTACGAGTACCTGTACTCGATCCACCGGTCATGAGACGCCTAGCGCCGGGCGAGATCGTTCGATCGTCGTACCTTCGTCATGTATTCCAAATACGCGGTCAGCACCTTGCCGTGCTCGGAGACGTTCAAATAATCTTCAACGGTCGGCAACGTCAGACCACCCTGATCGATCTTCGAGAAAGGGAAACGACAGAAACGTTTAGCGAACGCGTGCACGCAGTATACATTTCGGGCGTCTGTTCGCGCGCTGTCCATCCCGGCCTCTTACTTGTATGATGTGTCTGCTACTGTTTCGATCGTCCTCGTTCACCGACCACGCGAACAGACCGTCCATGTTGTAAACGTTCTGCAGAACGTGCATGCTCTTCTGCAAGCTCCACGTGTCGAGATCGAACTTCCCCGAAACGTTCCAGCCGCCGATCTCATCCAACAGGTCCAGCATAGGTCGCGCGCCCAGCGTTTCGATGGTGTCGTTCGCGTCCATGCACGAGAGGAAGTAGAACTTGGCTTTCTTCTCGGCCTTCGACTTCATCTCGGCGAACGGTTTCTCTAAACACGGTACATAGGAGAGAAACGGAGCAATTTTACTGCGACTCTGTCGCCGCTGCGAGAGACTCGTTCTCTCTTTTCTCTTTTTTGTTTTTTACCGAGCACGTTCTTCACCACCAGTTGATTCTCCTGCTCGAGCTTGTCGAACATCCCCCACATGCTGCTACCGTCCGGTATCGGATTCCTCTTGATCCAACCACCGCACGCGTACTCGTAAAAATCGTCGCACGGGTCCACCGTGCGATCTATGCCGTTTATGATCGAGGCGGCCACCGTGACGCAGTGCTCGGACATGCAGTGCGTACCATCTGAAGCAACGTGTCTCTCAGAGATTCTCGGAGAACTTGGATCGAAGACGCCGTGATCTTACCTTCACCGTGCGAAGTGACGTGAAGTATTTGGGATTCGTTCCAGCCGTTTCTGCTGTTAATCTCTATGGACAGTAAGACGATCGTCAGCAAGAGGCACGCGCAGATCACGAGCAGACATCTCTCTAGCGGACTCCTCGCTCTCCACAAGGAGATTCCCTGTGTACCAAACGAACAGATCAGACACCCTCGTCTTTTTCTTGCGCCTCTTGGCGCTTGTCTTCACGCACCGAGGTGTATCTGACGTGCGTCCCAGACCTGCTGAGCTCGCTGTTCAGTGCCACGGGTCCGATGCTGCTGCTGTCCTCGTCCTCGAACTCGGCTTGTTTGTACATCGTCATCTACGGAGAGAGCTCGTGAACCGGTTGAAGCGTCCGGACGCTTTATCGTTTTATTTATCACAGCGGCCACCGGGCATGGGGACACTTTTTTCGATCCGACGCAGAGCGGACACTCGTCAGAGACGAAGAGAGGAGACGATTGGCCGTTACACGATCGTTAGAATTTCTAACGATTCGGAGAAACGCAAACGTTGTGACACGGTTCCGGGTCGAGCTAAAAATATCTACCGCCCCGACGCGACGGCTGGTCGTCGTAAGGAGAGGGCCGAAGAAACAGCCGATTCTGATCTCTGATCCCGTGATCTTCGTCGCGTTTTACGAGTTCCGTGTGAAGAACGTCGGCGCGGTGCGTTCTACGTCGTTGGCAACGAAATCGAGAGAAATTGGTGCGACTCGTGGCGTCCGCGATGTGTCTCGGTACGTCGTTCTCGCGGGCCCGTCACGTTCTTCTAAACGCGTTTCGAAGAGAACGACGTCGATCCGCGGGTATCTCTGACGCGTCCAGAGGCTCATTCGCTGGACCGAGAACGGAAGGCGGAACCACCGCCGCCGCGCGTGGACGTGGAAGAGACGCGACGGACGCTCGTGACGAAACTGCGAGCTGGTTGCACGCGGCGCGGATGCACGCGTGCAAACACGAGGATTCGTGGAAGCGCGCGCACGCGTCTACGATCGAGTTATTCGTTTCGCCTTATGACAGGAAACGAACACTTGTACCCTCGTTACGACGATCAAAATGCTTTCTGTCTCGCGTCGCGTTTCGTCACGCGCTCGCGATACTCACGCTTGGAAAAGGAAGCGAATCGCTTCTCTCGTCCGAAGATCACGACTCACCCAGATGAGAGACACACCGATCGCACGGGCGAATCGTTGATCGCTGATCGACGATGCGCCGTTTACGCGACTGGGACAAAGCGGGACGCGGTCGATCAATGAGACGGACCGAAGACGAACGTAATTCCTCGTCGATGACGAACGCTCGTTATGGAACGAACCCGCCGATGAGACGACACTGGAGTTTGGAGAAACGAGACGATTCGGGGTAGCGAATCGGTCGGGACGAGAGGTCCGTCCGTCAGAATCACGTCGAAGGCGACCGGTCCTCCGACGATATCGTTACTCGCGACCCGTGTACGTGGCACTCACCTTCACCGACATTTCGTCGCCGGGAATAATCGCGCACTGTCACTCTGATTATCGATTCACCAGTACCCGAGGGCGAATCCTAGCAACGAACGGGATGTCAGGGACGGGTGGAACGGCGACCGTTGCGTCGCGTCGCGTCCGGTGGTGAGAGAAAGGCGGAGAGAGAGAGTCGAGGGAGAGACAGGTGTACGCTCGAAACTGTGTCGTCGTCGTAGTCCTCTGGACTAGGACATTTTCCAGCGTTTATCTCGACTCGGCCGCTACATCGGCTTTCCCAACTTTCCCGTGGCTCTCCCGCGGGGTTGCTCCGACGGGCCACGACCCCTCTACCGCCGATCCCTCGATATTGATTTCCTAGGTCCACGGCCTCCCCAGCCACCTACCTCGCCTTGCATCGGTGATCGTTCACCGTCATACTCCTCGGACGGTGCGTCTCTCTAACGCGACACGGATCGGGAATCAATGGATGGGGAATCGATGAATCGGGAAACGACGTACCCTGCCGCGTGAATAAATATTTTATCTTTATTCCAGCAAAGACGTCCCTTTGCGTGAGGTACGGTACAGCTTATAGTATACATATTGATACGGATATGATTGCACGTTACAGTGAAAGAATCGTTCGGACTATTCGACGATCGATCGTTAAAGCTATAATGATACGCAGGCTACGCACACGCACACAAAATATACTGCCTTCTAAATCTATAGAAGACCCCGCGAACGGTGTGTCACCCTTATCAGTAGCAACGGTCATTCAGACGAACTGTAGCGAACAGCTCGTCCGTGCCCGGGTTACAAAAAATAATTGTGCACACAGTGTGCATTACGATGCACACGCACTGGCGCGTGCGGATGCATATATATATATACGTATATATCCGTATATTTATTTATATAATTTTCTCTCGTCTTTTTTAAACCGACGCCTTGATCGCCCGATGAAATCGAGCAGCTCTTCTCTCGGGCTACGACGAGGCGATCGATTCATTCGCTCTTACCCACGTTTATCGTAACGGACTCGATATTGGCACGTACGCTATTACTTTGGACCGCTGAACTTATCGTTAGAATCGGAAACTTACAAACGATATGCTTAAATTCGATATGCTTACGATATGACGCGGAAATTATTCGCGCGATCCGTTTCTCGTTCGACTTAAGAAAATAACAGTTGAACCTGGAAACGAAAAGATGTACCGCGACCCGTAAACATCGATCACTCTCGAGATTAGAGATTCACGCATCCTCTCGTTTTAAAATTAGATAAGATACATCGAATTCTCCTGCGGTTCGAAGAGATCATCGTCGAGATCGAGAATCTTGACGATCTGCACGATCAGAGAAACACGGAAAGGACAGGACGTTCTCTCGAAAAATCAGGATTCGTAGCATCTTCGAGAAGGACGCACGAAACTGTCCGATATAACGAGTACACGTATAATAACGTTAACCTAATAATTAGAGTTAGTCACGTTAAAAACTGTTCCGTGGCTCGTAAAGTGCGACGACGTGCGAAGATTAGAAAAAGGTGCGCTAACGAGTTATTGGCGTACCGTAGCATACGTAGGACGATTAAGTACGGCGTCGGAGGACGCTCTTGTGCGTAATTGGAATCGGTCGAGATCACTCGAGGAAGGATGGGTAGAAGGGGGAAGAGTGACGCGTTTTACAGCTCGGAACCATCATCGCTAAAGCGAACAGGACATTATTATTCTTCACCGAAAATTGCTGGCAGTATCGCGTAATTGCGAAAGAACGAGAGATCCCATCGAGTCACGCGACAGTTAACATAAGCTACGTTGAGGTAACGACCGTCGGTGGAAACAGCAGATTGTCCCGTAACCGTGACCGGTACGCGATCGAAACGACGACCAAACGACGTCGAGCGTGTGTGGTCCCGTGGCCTGGGCCTCCGTGTCCGTCTACGAACGTCGTCGAATCGAACACGCCCGATCGCGGAACCCTCGGGATCGCGAGACACTCGTACCAGAGATGAGCGGTATCCGATGAACACCAAATGGTCGTGAGTGTGCTCGGGATCCAGAAATAAATCGAGGTCGGTGCGCGTTGAATGTTGGAAAGAAACAATGCGGCGTTTCGTATCGTCGGACCGATTACACAGGACAGAACTTCTCGGAGCGAATCGCTCCTCCGGCGCGATTCGCGGTACCGTCCGCGTCGATGCCGTCAATACCGGATGAATGCGGACGCACGCGAACGCGCGTAAGTCGGCAACGTGTATAAGAATAAGCACTATATCGTGTGAGAAGGTAGTAAGGTGAGCGCTCAGTCCAACGATTTTGACCTGTCTAATCTACGTTTACTTTCAAGATTAGAATTTGTACTGGCATTCGCGAGACGAGAACGAGACTGCTCGAGTCTCTCGACGTTCCCCGTAGAGGAAGACGCGTAGTCAGAAACGGAACACGCTGATATCACATTATTGGATGGATTCGATTGGAAAGAATTCACGCTAACGTTGGCCCTGTCCTCTAAAGAGCTCGCGACGCGGGATTCGTCGACCACCGCGCGCGCCGTGGCTGGCTCCGTGTTAATAAGACCGTCGCAGGAATAGGGCAAAAGTTTCGAGAACGGCCTTTGAACGGAATATTCTTCGCACCTCTCTTTCCCAGCGTACCTACCGGTCACTTTTAAAGAACCGCCGTACACGCGACGATTGATCGTTGACTCCGAAAACGAATCCTCGGTCGAGTTCAGATCCGACTTCGAGTCGCTGCCGTGGCTCTGTCCCTCGAGCTTGAACAGAGAAGGAACACCCGCCGCCGCCGTCGCTTCCGATACCATTCGATTCTTCTCTCCCGACTGGCCGCCGTGCGCCGTCGACTCGTTCGAACAATCGTTCAGCCTCCAAACGACTTGCTCTCCGCTGCTACCCGCTACGCAGTCGACGTTCACCGTCGTATACCTCTCCGCGTTCGCGCTCGACGCTTCCGGAGCTTCCGACGACTTTTCCATCGGACACGGGACGTAGCTCGCGGGGGTAGCTCGGTACGCTCGATCGAACCCGTTCCTGGGAACGAACGGTTCCTGATACACGAAAGGAAGACACGTCTGTGTGACCGTCCCGTCCGTGACCGCGCAGTACGGTGGGAAATGCGTGAATGGAATAGCCTCCCGCGGCTCCCGCGGCTGGGAACCCGTCCCGCCGCTCGCGAACCGAGCGGCGTGGTCCAGGCTGTCGTTCAATCTCGCGGAAAAGTTGCAGGTGTACGAGAAACATTGGGGCACGTACGAACTCGTCGGAGCGATACTCGGCGATTGGGCGTTAGTCCGCGCATTCGTCGATTCCGGCGATGCTGGGCTCGACGGCTTACCACGCGTTTGTGCTATCACGGTCTCGTAGCTCGGCGGTGGCCCGTATAATTGGTAATATGGACAGTTCGCGTCGTTCAACATGACGCTCATGTTTTGGTATTGAGCCGACGTCGTCGCGTTCCCGATCGCGTTGTACGCCGGCACCGTTCCGTTCCTCTGAGGGCCTGCGGGCACGATTCGATCGGTAAACGCGTCTGAATCGAGCAGACGAAACACATGCACTGAACTCGCCTTTCCACATCCGATGCAACAGAACGGTGTTCCTCGCCGAGTTGTAAGTGATGCGAGCCCTCTGCCCCTGACACGTCGCCGATCCTCGAAGAGCGTTCGGGGCACGTGCGTTCGAAGATCTGGCGGGTATCGCCGATGCAGCCGCTCTGTACCTTCCTTGTAACCAATACCGATACCACCAGCCACCACCGGAGCATACGAGGAACATGATGATGACGAGTATCCTGCGAGAGAGACGAACGATACGTTTGATTCTAGCTTCTCTAGCAGAGGAGATGATGAATCGCAGACGTTCGGTCAACAAGCTTGCGCACCAATAATACCATAAGTGGTGAAAATGTAGCCCAGGTGACACGCAACAACCGATACCGCAACAATACTCGCTCCTAGAGCATCTGAAACGAATACACGATGTACACGTACGCGCGATCGCGCGTTCGTTCAAATTCACTTCTTTCCCTCGTTCCTTATTCTCGTTTTCTCCTTTCCTCCTTTTCTCTCTCTCTCTCTCTCTCTCTCTCTCTCTCTCTCTCTCTCTCTCTCTCTCTCTCTCTCTGGTTCTTTCGACTGACCGATTTCACCGGTGAGAAAAGAAGAAAACGTCCTCCCGTTCGATGCTATATTTAGCGTATACATGAGACAAGTATATTTACGTGCATGGAACTCACTCATAGTATTCTCCAGGCATTTCAGAGGCACAATATTTTGCTTCTGCCTGAAAGAAGTTCGTATTTTAGATCGATGAATTTTGAATGAACGAGATCGTCGGAGATCGTCGTAGAACAAATGAAACTCGCTCCACCGCGTACGCGTACGCAGCCGTGCCGTCGCACGCGAAAACGAGTCGTTAAACGAGAGTGTTAAGTTAAATACTCCTCGTCAGTTTCGAATTTCGAACGAGCACGACAGATTTCCTTTATTCAGACGAAACGATGTAGAATACCAGAATGCTTCGGGCAAGATAATTGTCTTACGTATATCAAACATTTGGACGTTCCGGCGAATATCGCCAGCTTCTTCTTCGCGTTCCGTGCCATTTTCTCGAAGACCATTTATACTTTTATTTCTAACGAATAAGAACGGCGCACTGTACCAGATTGTTTTGACATAATCACCGTCTCGCTCCGACCGTCATGTGCACACAACATTGCACACCACTTATTGATTTCAATTTCGGAACTTTAGAATGACGTCATCGGGCATGCGTCGAACGCGTTCGTCCCGACGGAACCCTGCAGCGTGAACAGCGAGACGGAAGCAGCACCGAGAAAGATGCAAAACAGGTGAACCGTCCGTCATACACGCGTGCACGCCGTGGTGCACGCCGCACCCGCCAACCGGTCGAGCCAGTGTACGTCTGTTAGAAATTAGTGATTTCAGTTGATTTTCAAAATTTAATTGAGCCGAGATGACGGAAGATAGTAGTAGCAGCTCTGGTAATAAATCGAGAAGAGAATCATTACTGTTATCGCCGCTTCAAAAGAAAGAGAAGTTAAGGTCGATTCTAACCAAAGTCGAATGCCTCGGTAAGATGTCTGGATAATGCCTGCCTCGAGAATAGTACGAACGATCGTTTCGTTCTTCTTTTACAGAGGATTCTATCACCGATATGACTATAGAGACTTTGAAGACATGTATGAACGAAACGGATGAAATAGACGCCGACACATCTCTCCGGGAGAAGGGTATACACCAGTTTTAAAGTCACAACTATTCTTTCAAATTCATTACGTATACGATGATCGTTTTCAGTACAAAATCAAGAAATTATATTGTTGGATTCGGAGATGATGCACGTGTCTTCTAGAATTTTACAATCCTATAAAAGGTCTTTGAGAGATATCGTATCCGTGTACGATGAAGTAGAATTTGCGCATAAAGTGGTACGTAACGAACGATCCTTCGACTTTACTGCTTTTTTTCCTTTCAAATTGCCAATGACCGATCGTTTGATGCAGATGAACTACATACGACAAAACTCTAACGTGGAAACAGAAACACCAGATTGGTCGGTTCTAGAGTCGGAAGTGACAAAACTTTTTAGAGTAGAACCGCAATACAGTTCATTCCTAGGTTTCAGAAGATTTCATAGTTACGAAATTGTTTTGTTTTATGAACCGATGCATTCATTTTCCTTGGTTTATCTTAAGGCACCTTGGAGCCGTTAGAGAGGAAAGAAACGATCAAGAGAGCGTCGATAGTCAAAGCAGCTAAGGCACAAGTAAAGCGACCAGAGAACGTCACTACCGTTGAAAAAGAGGGAGAGAGCATAGAGCTGACCGTGAAGATATACAAACTCATTTCGAAATATTGCAAGAACAACAAGAAGCCCCTCGATTATTTCCGACTCGTCTTGGACCCGACAGATTTTGGAAAGACTGTTCAGAATATTTTACAAATATCTTTTCTCGTTCGCGACGGACACGTGGAAATAAAAGGTAATCGGGACTGAGAGATGAATCTGATTGTTCCCTGCATTTTCACGAGCTGACAAAGCGATGATGTTCGTTTCGATTAATTTTTTACTCGTCGAACGTTGTTTCGTTCATAGATTCGGGTGATGCTCTTGTAATCGTACCTACCAAAGAGAGAAGGACTCAAGCGGCGACTGAGGAACGTCCAAACGTTCAGAATGTAATTTACCTCAACATGGAGCAATGGAAGGTAAAATTCCTACTGTTCTTCGTATCATGCCTTCTGCGAATAAATGTTATACCATGGAAAGTGATTACTTCGTATTTCAGAGTTTAAAGGATGTTTATCGATTAGAAAAGCCGATGATCGATTTTGATACTTAACGCGACAGTGTATGACCAGAGATCACGGAAAGTGAGACGAGCCGTTCATGTACATAGATCTTCATACGTATACGTTTCATTAAAAGTTTGTGTTTTGTAAAGTTTTTAATACCAATAAATGTTTATTTCATTCATTAAACCATGAATCTGACTTATTTCACAACGACCTTGACCAAACGACCAATCTTCGATGTACTACGACGCACGATACTTCGTTACCCGAACAAATGCTTTCGACGGTTCGAAATTGTTTCTCCGATGCGTCGCAGTTCACACGTCGACCTCACGTTTGAAGAAGGAAAAATGTCAATTTCTAAGCGGTCGCACGCGAAGAGGCGACTGGACGTTCACATATGCGAACTACCGAAAACGTCCGAGAGTAATTTACCGAAATTACCGCCGAACGCGAGATTCTATACGCGATGGAGAAGGAGTTTTCAGAAACTTTTTCTCGTCTCCCTTAACCACCCATTGACGCGTAATTATTTACGCAGTTACGCGGCCATTAACTTTGAGAAGAGGAGACATGGCCGTTCCACGTTTTGGTGGGTGATACATCCCTGCAGTGCATTAAGGTGACCTTGCATCGAGTTCGAAATTGGTCCCGTCGGAACCTTTGAATCACTACGTATATTTATTCACGCAGATATTACTGGGACCTGCTAATGACGTTCACGTACTTGTACGTGTTCGTTATGATACCTTACACGTTGGCGTTTCAACGAATAGCCAAGAGTACTGATATAGAAAGTTGGAAGCCGGTATATCCCGCGTTCATAATCGGCATCGTCGACATCATGCTGAATTTCATTACAGGATTCAAGTCGCGAGACGGTCATGAGATTTTTCTCAATCCTGTCCTGATAGTACGGTAATACGTTTGTTCCCATGATCCGTCGATCGTCATGCGTCACGAATACCTGTCTCGCGAATTCGAAGGGAGGGTGGTTCTTCGGACAGATCGAACTCGCTCGTTACGCGTCGCGTCGAATTCTCGATTGAGCGAAAAGAAAAGAGATCTCGAACGACGTCCGCGTTCTTGCTCGTTTTCAACGATCTGTTCATTCCGTTTATTAAGTATTTTTATGCAGACATTATTTGAGAGGATACTTCGTCGTCGACTTCTTGTCCTCGGTCCCGTACTTCTGGTTCTATTCGTATCGCGTTCTGCCACCGGGTCCCGATTCGAACTCGATCTTCCTGCTCCCTGAATTCTGCCTGACCCTTAGAATTTTACGCACTTACACGCTGCGTCTCTACATCAGACAAATAATCGTGGTAACGAGGAGTAACGATTGTTGAAATAAAACAGAGAGGGAAAAAGATAGAGAATAAGAAAGAACGTATCTCCACAGAATTTTACTCTTTCTCACGCGCAAGACACGACTGTCTGGTTAGGAGTCTTGATACTGTTGATATTTCATTGGTGCAGCTGTTTGACGCTCGTCTTTCCGTTCATTTTTGCACACTTAAAAGGAATCACCGCGATGGTGCGTCTATACTTTTAAAATGGAGGACAGTTTCCGTAACTACAACGAACGACTCATCGTCAACGATTCGTCCGCAGGATTCGGACATGTATTTCTACAGGGAGAACCTGCACATGAGGAGAGACTCGTTGATCTACCTAACGTACTTCCACATGGGCGTGAGCAACTTCTTCGCATCGGCTTTTTCCGAGTTCGAGAATTTGGACAAGCCGGATCTGTTGATACGGTGCATCTTGTTATTATTCGGAAAAAGTTTCACGATATATCTCATAGGTAAAATTGAATCGCTCAGATCGTTGAAACGAGATCGCATTAAACATTTTTCACGTCGCAACAGTCATAGTACTGCAGCTGAATCAATCGGCCGCCGAGCCCGAACTGAAGTATCAACGAATCATGCACCGGGTGAAAGAGTATATGCGTGACAAGAAGCTACCGGAAAATCTTAGAAACAAATTGAAAATTTATTACGAGTATCGCTTCCAAGGGAGTTATTTCAAAGAGAACGCGATATGCGGCACGCTGTCCAGTTAGTATATTTAAATCGTCGATATCTCGATCGATTCCGGGTCGACGCGCGCGCGTCGTACCTCTGAAATCTCTCCTCCGCGATGCTTAAGGATGTATTGGCTATACAATCAATCCCAAAAGTTTATGTACCTTAGAAAAACGCATTTCCTACAATTAAAAAGAAATCAGATGTCGGAAGAATAATGCTAATAATAAATAGCTACGTGCTAAAAAGTATAGAAG